AATTTAAAAAAAAACTTGTAGTTATCATTAGTCACTATTGTAACTTTCAAGCTGGTTAATGGTTGTTGATGAATTTCAGGAATAATAACAACCGTCCGCAGTCGCACCATGACTACGTAGTACGTACACCTAGAGTGGAGTATATAACAAGTTTCTTGTAATAACAATAATAATAACTCATTCATGAATAATAACATTTTTTCTATCTTTATTTTTAGCTTTGATTTGATAGCCGCACTAGGTCGTGGCGAAGTGCGGACACGGACTTGGATTGTGGCACCATATACTTCAATCTTTTGTTAACCAAGCTTCCCCACCGCCTACGTTTTTTTTTCCCCAGCACAGCCTTCTTTAACGCCTTGACAAGCTGTTGTTTAAACGATTTAATTCTTGTTTGTTCCCCTACGTCAAGATGTATTTCTTGCTATGTAAGATTGTCCTTGTAGTAATCGTTAGTCACTATTGTAACTTTCATTGTCCTTGCAAAAAGAGCAACGGTTAATGGTTATTCTTGCTATGTAAGATTGTTTGCCACCAACAACATTTTTCCTCCACAACCTTTATGACGTCTTGATGAGTATTATTTTCATTACGAAATATAATAAGGAATTTTCAGTTGTTCTAAATGTTCAAAGTTTGTCAAGTTTGCAAAGAAAAGTATTAAAATCTACCCAATCAAAATGAAAAACATTTCATGGGGCATCTAATAAACCTCATTTGATACCATAAATATTACCTTTTTCCATAAATTTAGTTTGATTTAAGATAACATAAAGGTCTTAGAGCATGTTTGATCTCATAGTCTAAAGTTTAGTTGGCTACTAAGGCCTCATAGGTTGAGCTGTACTGGGGAAAAAAGTCATTGTGGGGTTTAGTTTGTGGTCGTGGTACTAGAAAAGTCTAAATGCTTGGTTAAACAAGTATAAAATATACCTTTTATCTTTATCTCTCTTGAAACAACTATGGAAGAGCTTTTTATTCCACCAATTTCAAAAAGTTGACAAACCAACTTAACTACCACTTGATTGAGCCTTTTTGGCTTTTAAGTTAAAAAAAAAAGAACTAAGCTTTAGATCACTTTAGCACACTTATGTGGTCCAATGGGCCTTTTTTTTTAAAAAAAGTTGACTAAACTTAGACCACTTGATTGGAGCCTTAAGAACTAAAGTTTAGCGGCTAAACTTTAGGCCATGATTCCAAACATAACCTTATACTTAAGGATGAAAACGATTGAAATAAATCTCATTCCGTCCTATCTTGATTTCTACATTTAACTCGCTTGAAGGTCATCCTGACTGTTTTTTTTTATTTTTCTGTTATCGATAAATTTGAAAACGAGATAAAACTAATAGGGCAGTTTTTTCGGCCGTTTTTCATTTTTCCGTTTTTAACCGCATAGGACATACCGTTTTAGGAAATGCAATAATGCAGCACAGTCGGCCATGCCACACCAAAGTCTCTCTATCCACGGTAGACTGGTGGTTGGCTTGTTGTGTTATGAATATATATGGTCTTGCACTATAGCCATCTTAGATCAGTAAGTGAAGTCATGTTTCTTAGTTCTATGTGTTGATGTTCTTGGGTTTTCCTTTCGTATTCCGGACGTTATCGACATGTTCTCGCTCAAATTGACTCGTTTTTGATTTTTCGTTGAATCCTGTTTTTGTTCATGTTTCTGTCCTTCCCGATTTTAATTCTGCTTTCGTAATAAAATGTAAAAGTGAAAATGAGAGAGGATTTCCCTGATTGATCTGATTAATTTTCATCCCTACTGAAACTCCATCCATCCTAAAATTAATTGTGAATCTCGCATTCTACGGAGTCAATTAATTTCATGTTTGACTAGATTTTATCAACATTTGTACATCAACACAGGTTTCCTATAAGAATATTACAATGTATGGCACGGTTGATCTAATAATGTTTATTTGGTCCATTAATATCATTATATTTTTATGTATTTTGTCAAACTTGAGATCGTTTAATTCTTTGAACTATATGTGCACTTATTTTAGAACCGAAGGAGTGTATACTTTAGCATGAATGGAGTAGTCAATTTAAAGACTGAGTTCTTGTTGGTTCTGCTACGTCAAAAGGTAGCATTTAGTCGCTAACAAAAATAACCTTGTATGTTACTGACTCCTTATTAAAAAAGAGCAACCTTTAATAGCTGTTGATGAAATCAGTAATCGGTAATACTGCAATGGGAGTAATGATCTTCCACGTTGACTACATACACACACTGTGGAGTATATAACAAGTTTCTTGTCATAATAATAATAACTCATGAATGAATGAATGCAGCAACAAAGGCAATTGGATAAACAGTGAGAAAACCACATAATCCATAGTCCTAACAGATTGGCATATAAGCTGAACGAGTGGGAGAAGAAACCAATTAGTAGAAAAATGCAAACTGAAACCTAGTAGTCCGCCACTCTGCCTGGAAAAGACAAAGATCGACTCCATAGCGGCGCTAGCTCCAACTGCGATTGATTCCGTTTAGTTTAGGACCTGAATGCACCAAGTGGCCTATACAGAAATCAGAAATGAGGATCAAAACCAAACACTTAAGGAGCTACTCCTGCTACGTATTGTACATACTAGCATAGGCAAAAGAAAACGATTACTTGACCAAGAAAAAGAGAAGCAATTGAAGATTCTTTGCAGGGCCACTTCATTATTTCTTCACACTCATAATCAATGCACTGATTATCTGTACACATTTTTAAATCGGAATAGTGGTTGAATTGACTTTAAGCCGGTGGTTGTATATATTTGCGGTAGCACCGTACGTACTCCTAGCAGAATACTGTACTCCTAGTTCACATAAAAAAAAGGTTCTACTGCTGCCAATCAGCGTCGGATGAAAAGAAATTGAAAGGATACGCGAAAGACGTACGCCGTCGCGTGTACAGTGCTAGAGTGGAGCGGAAGATGCGAAGGGCAGAGATAATCCACCTCAGCTTCAGATTGGCCGGTGGCCGCTTCCGCCCTTTTGTATTTCTGAGGCCTGCGCGGTTTCCAATTACGACGAGCCAAACCAGACGGACGCACACAAGAGCAGGAGAGAGAGATTCGAGGGGAATAAAAAGGGAAAGAAGAAATGAAGTGAGGGAGGGGAGAGTCCCATACACGAGAGAGAGACAGTGCCGGCCCTAGGTTTAGCGCACTAGGTGCGACGGCCGACGGCGGAGGGGCCCAAACCCCCCTAGGTATACAAACCTTCAGACCCTATAATCTATTAGACATTAGCAAACTAATGAGAAGAGAGATATAGAACTGGCCGGACAGTCCAAAAAGATAACATCGATATTTCTTTCCTAGTTTTCTTTCCCCACGGCCCTCAGATAGAGAGTAGGCGAGGAGTCACACTGCACACAACATACTCTGATCGTGAGTTCGCGACGTGCGCCTTACACACGTGGAGCTGGCGAGCCGCGCTGCTGCGAAGAGCTAGACTACCGGAGACATGGACACGATGCACGAGGACGGTAACCAGGCAGGGCTCCACCGACACCGATCAGTTGTTTAGGCCCAAGGTATTTTTTTTCCTTTTTATTTTTAATCCAAATTAATTATTTGTATATATTTATAGTACTCTGTACTCATATAGTTATATTTTTTTTTCTAATTTAGGTGTTAGAATTTTAGAATGTTATTAAAAAAATATTTGTCATAGGTGAGAAAAGAAAACGAATATATTGTTTTTTAATCTATATTGTTTCTCGATAATTATCATACATCTATAAATATATTATTTAATCTACATTGTTTCTCAATAATTATCAGACATGTTAAATTAAAAATATATTATTAAATTTATTTTTATTTTATAAATAAAATTAGTATCTATATTATAGGGTATCCAATATTATAAGATTTTATATATGGTTAGGAGGGATCGTTAAGACGTGATCGGTCAGAGGGCCCTTAGCTCTTAAAATCTAGGACCGGCACTGGACTGGAGAGAGAAGGGAGCAGAGGAGCACGCTACGAGAGACGGGAGAGAAGAGAGAGGGAGGTCGAGGGAGGCAGCAGGGGCTGCAGCAGAGGCCAGAAGCATTAGAAGCGGCAGTCGTAACCAAGCGGCATCAGTAGATAGAGCCATCCATCTATCTAGCTCTACAGGTATAAATCCTTACGCATCGGTAGGAGGGCGAGAGGGGGGGACGGGAGAGGCCGCCTGCCACCAGGCCAACTACCAAGTGGGGGAGGGCCGGGAACCGGAGGAGGGGATTTCTCGGGGGCGGAGTGGCGGCCAGGACCTGATTGGTCTCCAGGGCGCGATCTTTGAGCGCAGATTTGGTGCCCGCGATCTGCCATGGATTTGATTTAAGGTGAGCTCCTTTTTTCTCTGTCTTGACGTCTTGCTTGACTGGCTCGGATTCGTGTTATCCGACTTATCGCGGCGCTGAGAGAGAGAGATTTGGTTTTTTTCTTCACAGATTTGAGGAGATCGGTCGGGTTCGAGGTGCAAGATTCGATTTTTATGCCTGTTTTATTCACGAGGTTCGCTCTCCTCAGATCTCAAGCCTTCCCCTGTTCTTGATCCCTTTGCTCCCGTTGATTTCATCACCGCTTTTTTTTAATTCGATTTTGGCGCCTGCAGATCGCAACAACGCGATTGCTAAGCAAGCTAAGATTTCTTTTTTTTTCCTGGATCAATCTCAGAATAGGAGGAGGAAATAAAGCAGCAATAGAAAGATTTTTTGGGGAGAAGGCATGATGCTTGAAGGGAAGTCCTACCTTGTGTCGCGCTCCCTGCCGAGCTCCTGCGAGCCGGAGACGGAGTGGGCGTACCTCGCCCACGAGGTTCTCAGCGGCAAGCGCCCGGCGCCGGAAGACGTCGAGGTCGAAGACCTGGACGAAGCTGACGGCGGTGGCAAGCGCAGCAAGCCGCCGTCCCGCAGCCACACACGCCGGACATCTCCGAGGGCCACGGCTCCAGCCGCCATGCCTCCGGTTGCGGAGAGCAGCAGGGCACTGGGAGCAACCCCATGAATTCAATCGGTCGTGATCTGACCATCAATTGCCTCCTCCGGCTATCCCGGTCCGACTACGGCTCGGTGGCCTCCCTCAGCCGGGACTTCCGCGCCATGGTCCGCAGTGGGGAGATCTACCGCCTGCGGCGCCAGAATGGGGTGGCTGAGCATTGGGTCTACTTCTCCTGCAATGTTCTTGAATGGGATGCCTATGACCCATACCGAGAGCGCTGGATCCAAGTGCCCAAGATGCCGCCTGATGAATGCTTCATGTGCTCTGACAAGGAATCACTTGCAGTGGGCACTCAACTGCTTGTGTTTGGGATGGCGCGTATTGTGTTCAGATACAGCATCCTAACCAATTCATGGACCAGGGCTGATCCAATGAACTCTCCACGGTGCCTGTTTGGGTCAACAAGTGTTGGGGAAAAGGCCTTCGTTGCTGGAGGCACTGATTCTATTGGCAACATACTGAGCTCTGCAGAGATGTATGACTCTCAGACACATACCTGGACGCCCCTCCCAAGCATGAATAGAGCAAGGAAGATGTGTTCTGGGGTTTTCATGGATGGCAAGTTCTATGTGATAGGTGGTGTGGCCAACAACAACATAGTGCTGACTTGTGGGGAGGAGTATGACTTGAAGAGGTGTTCTTGGAGGATAATCGAGAACATGTCTGAAGGCCTCAATGGAGTGACTGGTGCTCCTCCCCTTATTGCAGTTGTCAGCAATGAGCTCTATGCCGCTGATTACAGTGAGAAGGATCTCAAGAAGTATGACAAGAAGAACAATAGGTGGATCACCCTTGGAAAACTGCCTGAACGGTCTGTGTCGATGAATGGGTGGGGCCTTGCTTTCCGAGCGTGCGGTGACCGCTTGATTGTCATCGGAGGTCCAAGGACCTACACTGGTGGTACTATTGAGCTCAACTCATGGATCCCAGATGAACGGCCGCCTGTGTGGAATTTGATTGCCAGGCGGCCATCTGGGAACTTCGTGTATAACTGCGCCGTGATGGGTTGCTGAGTCCACTGAATAAAAGATAAGTGCAGTGGATATTTATGAAGGATGCTATGCACAGAGGCAGCCTGTCCAATTGCTTCAGCCCTTATTCTTCGTAGCGATTTCTGCCGTCTGCCCAGTTCCGGAATTAACTGGACATCAGCTGATTGTCAGCAGTCTCATGTAACCCTTGAGTTCTAATACTCCTGTTTCCCTGCTAATCCATTTCTACATTTGCATTTGAATCAACTGCTCGTGATTTCAAAGATACAAGACTATGCAAAACAAATGTTATATTAATAATCTAGAAACAACTTCGAGATGGTTTTTATCTATTGATGAGAAACCTGTTTAGAAATACTTGCTTCGCCTGTAGCTGCATGAAATGCTAATTCTTTTTCGTTCATCTTGCCTGTTTCATAATGTGCATACCTTTCTTGATGTTATGAGCCACCAAGTTGGTGCTTGGTGGTGACATGCGTGAACTGCTGTGTTGAATTTTCATGTTGCATATGCTGGATCCACTTGGCTCTAAAATGGCATATATTATGTTGGTGTTTGATTGAATTGATGTTTGGACTAGCCATACTGTGAATGCATAAGTCTGATGGAGTCCTGCGTTGTTTCACAATTGGTATTTGAAAAGATTAGAAACTAAAAGGTACTTATTCGATTGGTGTCAGTCTTGAAGTCATGTTGCAACTAGCCCCGTTCGTTTGGCTGAAAAACACTGTTCCGGCTGAAAAAAGAAGCCGAATAAGCCGGATTATAAGGTAAGCCGAACGGGGTACCCACCATCGCTTTGACTCACAAGCTTATTGTGCCACAAAATGAGTCGTGAAAACCATGAAGCTGTTTGACTTTTGCACGATCCGTTTTAGTAATTTCGCCTGCTAGATGTCATTCTGAACTAGTAGATGCAACAAGAGAATACAATGAATTCATTGCAAACTTCCTAACTCCTATGAGTGTGCTCTTCTGCAGTTCTGCTTGCCTCAGATGTTTCAAATTTGGATTTGTGAGCTCCAGAATTCCTTTGGATGAGTAAATTCAAATGGCAGCGCTTGCCATATAAAAGAATGGTTGTGTTAGCCACGTTTTTACACCTTTTACCAAATGAACAGTTGCCTGATTAATCTAGCTACTTCCAGGCTGAAAGCAGCTGCCTGATTAATCTAGATACTTTAGCAACATTTGTGGGGAACATTTGTGGGGAGTAAGATGCCCTTTAGTTTGGGGCTTATAAAACTCAAGCTTTGAGGAACAGAGTGAAATTGAAATACTCATGTCCTACTTAATTTAAGTATAAGTATGTAGCTAGAGTGGTGAATGCATATTAGCTGGAAAATTATGGTTCAAGTATCGTGTCTATGGCACTTCTTTCCAAATCGGATATAATTCCTTGTGCTGCTACTTGGGTAACCATATATAGTACTTGATTGGTTTGCATAGTCTCAAAATTTGCTTTCTGTCAACGTTGCCAGTAACACGGGATGTCGAAATATGGTGCAGAGATTTATTGCACATACTAGAATTGCCAGTGGCCTATTTTCTTTCATTCTGAGTGTGTGTGTCATTCTGCGTATTTAGAGTCTAGTAGCAAGTGTGATTTGCTGAAACAAATCTTGCTTTTTATGAGTTAGAGTTGGATGCTAAGAAGCTTAACCTTGCATCAATTACTATCTTTGCTTCTTGACTAGCACTGGAAGCTATTGGTTCCTTGCATGTTCCTATGCCTTGTGATGCAGAGAGCTGCATGCTGAAACCACTGTCTGTCTTTATCTGTATTTGACTGAGCCATGCTCACATTTGCTTATGAAGGTCAACACGGCCTTTGCTTAAATCTGGCGCCTTTCCATAACAGGAAGCCGAACATGGTTAAACTCTTTGATAACAACAAGAATTTCTAGTGTGGCAGAAATTTGCTGGCCTGGCAACTGGCATGTTGTTTGGAACGGGAGGGACGACGGATCGGCAGTGACTGCACAGTCCGTCCGTCTACAGAGGATCGATGGAAGTTGCATGCAGAAAGTAGCAGCAGCTAGTAGCAGATTGTTCTTGGTGTGTTGCGTGAAGCTTTGTTCCTTTGACTCGTGGAGCTGGTCCGGTGTCCGTCCTATCTTTCTATCTACGCACCCCCTACCCATCAGCCTCAGGCACAGAGCAGGATGGTGGCGCTGGGTCTCCCCTGTGGCTACGTTGGCGGCGGCGCTTTACAGCACGGCCGGTTTGGCCTTTTTTTTTCTCCGTCGCCCCGGCTGCAATTATTCCAAGGGATGGGATGGGATGGGATGGGATGGGAAGGGAATAGAAGGAACGATGGAAAGAATGCGTTGCGTTCGGAATAGGATCGCAATAATTTCGATGTGTACGTCGCTGTTGTGCTGCAGTTGTGGTATCGAGTTGTGCCGTGCGGCCACTGCATACATGCCTCACTTGGCACAGTCGTCCTATTCTCTCGACCTTTCCTTCTAGTAGACTACTACTATCTTCTTGCTCCGTGCAGCTGACTGTTTGGCAGGGCATGTTACTCCTACCAATACTTGTAGTAGTCATGAACCTGTAATAGTCTGAATGATTAATATCGGAGCTCCCTCCAAATTCCCTTTTTTTGCTTGTTGTGTGCTGATTGGCAATTTAAAATCTCGCGAGTGAAGTGAAGTAGCATCTTTGCCATCTTGGTGTCATGGTTATTGCCAGCAAGAATCAGACGAGCCTTTTGCTCTATATATGCATACACATATATATCCTCTTTAACAATTTCTAGAAGAATGATGCCGTCACCGAATCTCAATCAAAACACTGCCCGGTTTACACGCTGTACATCCAGCAGCCGGATAGAATATATATTTAGCCTCAGTGGAGAATAACAAACAGAATATTTATCTCTCGCCATCGCAAGAAGGGAAACTTTCAGTGCAGAGGGTATTATGCCTAATAATCTCCTTTATTCGCGAGCACGCACCCGGACCTCATTTTGGTTCCGCCTCCGCTTCCGCGAGCCCTTTTTCGTGGCGATGCATGGACGGCAGGAAACATTAGGCCAGGCCGGGAATCATTGCGCCTGCCGAAGCGTCCACGCAACGACCAACCATGGAGCTTCGCGTCCGTTTAAGATTTCAGTTCCCTTCCCCGCCAGACGTCGCCGCCGCGGCCCCGGTGCAGCTGCGGCGATCGATAACGCACGCATGCACCTGCGTGGCTGCGTCGCAGGCTCGCAGCGATCGACAACGCACGCGCCCAGGTGAACGTGCCAGCGGCGGCGGCGGCTGCTGAGTCGCCCGACGAGACCGTATGGTCACGGCACGGCACCTGCGTGGCTGCGTCAACACGTTTGACCGACCCGGTCTTCGTTTACGGCTCCTGAGTAGAGTACGGCCCAACCCAGAGTATACGTACACGGTACACCCGCCGGGGCCCGACGCGGCTTCTCGTGTGTATCCGCACGTGTGGTATATGCTCGTCGGTCGTTCTCCGCCTCAAATGACCAAATCGTTTCCGCAGCGTGGGCTGATTGATTGAAAGGCCCTGACTGAGCTCCGGTTTAGTTCGGTCCGGAGGTTGATGGGCTCTGTACGCTGATAATATGGCCCAATTCCGTGCTCCCTTGTGTTATTAGCCGGAGTAGCTTCAGGGTTGCCAGATGCCTAGTTTCTGAAAAGAAAAAGGGTCCTTTTAAAAAAGTGAGAGAACAAAAAAAAAAAATTGGAGATTGTGGCTGGCGGCCTGGCGCTAGCAAATCTGCAAACGTCAAGTATTCTGATTTGCAGGACAGCCTGCAGGTACCACGTACAGGCTACAGCAGAAAAGGGACGCCTAATACGACGGGGCCTGTGTGTCGTCTCGCGTCGCGTCGTCCTCGTCTTGTTTTCCCGAGGCAGCAGGCAGCAGCAACCGTGAGGCAGCGCCCAGCCCGGCCCAGATGTACCTTTGCAGAGGAGAGAGCAGAGCTGCGACGCGATGCGGATGCAGATGCGAGTGAGGACTGCCAGTGCCAGAGGGGAGGACTCTAGCACTAGCACTGCACTGCACTGCCACAAGGGCCAGTGGGTGGTAGTTGTTGGTCGCGGCCTAGACTGCCAGTGCAGGCGCCCAGCCCGTCCTCGTGCTTTGCTTCTTGCGGCCCTGCCCATCGTTGTACACTTGCACTGTACTGCACTGACGGTCTTCACTGGCTGTGCCCACACCCGGTCGCGTCGCAGCACGAGTAGGACTAGCAGGCACCCTAGACTCCTCGTCTCGTACACTCTGGTCACCCGTGTCACTGTGTGGTGGATGCTGGATGGCGGATTCTACCTCCCGCCCAGCCTGCTACTAGCCTAGTAGTAGATCCTGTTTGGATCTAGTTACAGACCTAAGACCTCAGTACTTTTTAGTAACTACTGCTAGCAATATTTTTCTTGCTAAAAGATTCATAGACACTCATAAATTAACAGGTGGATCGTTAGTAAATACGTACTTCATCCATCTTTAAAAAAAATTAATACAATTCAGTCAAACTAACTTGAGTTGGACAGAGTTTCTAACTATACTTATTTAGTATAATAAGCATTAATATCTTTTAAATAAATTTAGTGATTTAAGATAGTTTGACTAAACACTATTCTAAAATTTCATCCTTTCGGGGATGGAGTGAGCACACGTAAGGACCCATCATTGCTAATTTTAGCATAAATGCTTTGCCCGTCTTCGAGCTTGGCTCGTGGTGCTGCCCAAATCCTTAAACTTCCAAAATGCATACGTGGATCTCTAAACTTACTAATAGTGTCGTATGATGTCCAACTCACAAATACTAGAGTCAATAGCTTGTGTGGCAAGTTGATTGCACAGTGACATGTCACCAAAACAGTGGGCGGGGAACATGATGGTCTTATCTCTTCCCATACTTGCATGTGGACCCCATAGGTCGGTGCAACAGCATCTCGAAATCAGCGTGCTGCATTTGTCGGCGGCACATAACGGGGTACCCCATGACATGCATAAGAGAACCACTCAGGGCAACCCAGCAGGCCACGACCCACCTC